AATTTGCCATCTGTGAAAAGCAAACAAATGTCACCAACCAGAGTAATGAGCCTCATGATTGTAACAGGAATTTGAGCACAGATTTACATGGGATCTCTGTGTTTGGGCTCACAAGCCTTTGATTCTGTTACTATTAAAAGTAAGCAGCTGCAAAACTCCAGCTGTGCAGATCTGTGGAAAAAAAACAAGCATTGGCCATTGACTGCTTGACGTTCTACCTGAAAGGCTGGACCAGATGTGTGACTATTTTGTATATTATGTTTTTTGCTTCTCTGAAGAAGGAAGCAAGGAAGGCTTCCAGTAAAATTTGTAGAGAGTCTTTTAAAGTCTTTTATTGCATTTCAGTGAATAGGCTCCAGAACTTTAAAACTTCTCAACTTTTTTTTTTTTTTCCAATTATATAGAAAGTACTCTCATAATAGATATTATCTCTGTGGCAAAGTTTGATTTCCTTAGAACTTTAGAGCTTCCCAGCTAAATCAGAAGCATCACAGAAAATGCTACTTAAGGGAGAAGTCTTTGCTATTTTGAACTGAGTCCATTGTTGAAAGAAATAAATATGTCCAGATGTACCATCTCCTAAAAGTCACAGTACAAAAGTAGAGATTCAGAACCAAAGTACAATGGCTACAAACAATCTTTAATTCATGCAAAGTTACGATAACCAAGAGACTATAAACTTTATGGTTTGGTAAATTGGCTGCAATCTGCATCCCTAGAGGAGAGGGGAACTGAGATCAGCATGGTGACGAATATGACTGAGGGCCCCACAGATCACTTGTAGTCTGAAATGAAAATCAGGCCAGACCAGATGTAGCTACATTTATTGCTGCACCGTGGATCAGAAAATGTTAAGAAAACAAAGACAACGAGGATTACCAAGCATAAAACAAAGATATTTCCAAGCATATTAGCTGTGAGTCTCACAAAATGATTCTATCAGTCTTGAGGCCACAGAGCCTGGCAGGCTGTAAAGTACTGATGGTCTCTTTTTGTTTTTTGCCAGTATGGCTATATATATATATCTATATATATCTCTATATATATATAGATAGATATATAATACAAATATATATATATGACCCAAGGCTGACATCTAGTGGAAAGAAGAGGTCACAGGACTTTTCTTCTTCCCAGGAGCGCATTTTTCAGTGTGTTGGAACTACAGACGGTGTTTTGGTCTATTTTTTTTTTTTTCTTCTTCTTCTTTTTTCCAGAGATCATGCTGAATGTCACACTAAGTGGATTTCTAAGTGGATTTTCCTGGGCAGGAAAGCAAAACGAGATGCTCATTGGCACTCAAAACGAGATGCTCATTGGCACTCAGGCTAAGCGTGAATCTTTTCTCAATTGCAATAAGTCTATCGGTAGCTGACGGCCAAAAGCTTCACAGTGCTGTCCAAAGCTCCAAAGGCAGGATTTTAAAAATGGCTTTAAAAGACAATGGTCTGGATGATCATGCCCAGTAGAGGTTGGTTAGAGCACCCGGAATACATCTCATAGCAGAATAATCGTTCACTTCAGCTGCAGAAAATGGTGCTGTGGTGTTGGATTTAGATCTGCAATTCTGAATCACAGCAGCCCCTTGGAGAGCAGCCCCTGAGGCTGCGGTGCTGCTCAGCCCACAGTTCTCCCCATCCTTTGGTTCACTCACTGCCTCTGCTGTGCTGGTTGGGCTGGGAGGCTAAGGCTGGAAGGACTTAAGGAATGTTTGCACAATATTCTGCTTCAGTTTCTGCACCTGATATCACATGCTAATGGAGGAAAAAAGCACCTCAGTTTTCAGTTAATAAAAATATAAGTTTCAAGTTCTCATGCTTTTGTGGAAGAATTGAAAACACGAACCCAAAACACTAAAAAACAGTGAAGGACAAATAAAACTTGTCCAATGTTTACTTTTCATATCTCGCAAATTTAAGTCAATATCATAAATCTGCTGGCACCTCAGAGCTGGTGTGAAATGCTCAGCAACAGAGGGGAAGGGAAGCACAAAGAAGGCTCACCAGTTCTCAGGCACAGGAGAGAGAGGACAAACAGAACTCCTGGAGGTGGCTGGGGGCATAAAGCCCAGGGGGACTGCAAGTGGGTCATGAGAGTGTAAAAATGATAGAAGGCTGGCTGCTTTCCTTATTCCCTGTTCATTGAAGGGGAGTTGGACTAGATGATCTTTACAGATCAATTCAAATTATTCTATGATTTTGTATTGTAGGAAGTGAAAAATATCTCCTCCACATATTGGGGTAAAGATTCAAGGCTCTGTAGCAGCAAGCTGTAACCATTGGCTCTGTCCATGGATCATCTTCTTGAGTGGTGTTTGTAGCATATATAGGAGCAAATTACCTGCAGACTTTTGTTGGTCACGAGCAGGTAAATGCAACAAATCTATGCAGAAATACTGTTTCATCCCTAGGGGCATGCACAGCCCTCAGCCACTGCTGAAGAGCACAGCTCCAGCTCTGCTTCCCAGACGATTGCTAAGTAGACAAGGTGAAGCCCTTTTTTTTTGGAATGATCTGACAACAAAACACTGTTGTTATACAAACAGTACAAAGTTTATTGCAGGATTGAGCTTTAATCTCTTGTGGTTGCTTATTGACAACAGAAAAATTAGAAGCTCAGTGAAAAGGCCTTCTCAACATCCTGTTTGTAAGCTGCCTTGAAACAGAGGATCTCACTGCTCCTCTCTCTAAAACCCAACGTCTTAAATGAGAGACAGCAAGGATTAGGTCTGGGTTGCTTAAAGTTCCCATTTATTCTGCTTGATTTATCTTTTGTGCTTCCTGATTTTGGCCTTCCTAAGTGCAGGAAGAGAAAAAATCATGATGTGTGATTTGTGGTATATCAAGATATATGGTACATGAAATCTAGTGCTGTCAGCTGTGGTTGAATGTCATGAAGACTTATGGAGACAGGTTGTGAGACTTTGATCACCTGACACCAAATACCTGCCAGGAGAGACGAAACAACACTGAAGAAATCAGTCAGGCTTCTTTTTCCAGGGATTCCCTCATTTTTTACTTTTTGCTAGCAGAGAATTATGCCCTAATTTTCAAGTTACACACTGGTATCTCGGTCAGTGAGATACTATGTAGTGAGATGACTATACCTGTGTCAGGAGCGCACAACCTCAGAATCATGGGATGGGTTTTGGTGAAGCTTGCAGACCTGATAATCTGCTGTGGGAGGCTAATCTGGAAACTAGGATATTTACTTTTTCCTGCACGTTTGTAGAGAAATCAGGTCAGAACCACAGGTGTTTTAAAACTTCATGCTTTTTTATACCTTGAATAATACTTATTTAATCAGAGCCATGGAAGTAACTTAAACAATACAGAAGATTGATTTTGTCTTATGCTCTTTACATGTTTCCTTGTATATGGGTGCAGTTGGCTAAAACATTAATTTTCATAGTTTTTAGACCTGGCTAGATCACAGGTATGTAGGTGCAGGCATTTAATAGTCAGCACTTCTGCTAGTTTGCTGAGACATCTGGGCCTCACAGTATCTCTTCTATTCCATGAAAGATCAAGTGCAATACTTGGAATTATTTTTCCTGTTGTGGAATTTGGTTTTTGTGAGTGCTAAGATTGTCTGAATTTTGTATGCTCCCTTTCTGGTGTGTATCTGTGCTCTAGTATGCAATGCAGCCCAGAATGTATTTGTTACAAAAGAGAACCAAAGATCTGTTAGAAAATACTTTGTGTTTTTTCCCCAGCTATGACCTTGACAGTGAGTCTGGACATAGTTTTGCAATGCCTTCATGCTGGAGCAGGATAGATGTAGACTCTGTGTTTACATGCTTCTGAATTTTATGGGCTTGCACTTAGTCACTGCTCTCCATAACTAATTGATTGGTCAGGCAGCCATCCTGAGGGAATCCAGCAAATGATGTTATGGGACTGCCTTTGAGGAGAATTATTGGAATAAATAATCCAGATAATTTTAAGATGGAATTTATGACAAAATTAGATAACTGCTGTGTCTTAAAATAGCAAGGGACTTCAAGTGTCCTCTTTTAGGCTTGTGTACATTAAGACAGAATAAGGAGAGGCATAAAGATGCAAGCTTCTTCCTACCCTTATGTCTGCATCTACCAGCTTTCTCTATAGTAGGGCAGAAGACAGCAAGTTTTGCCTGCAATTAGATAAAATAGTTATTTGTACTGGGTAATCATAGCCTGAATAAGTGATAACTGGAGTTGGAAAGAAATTCTGATTCAAGAGGAATCTCAACAAGCTAAGGACCGGAGTCTACTCTTAGCTCCTGTAATTTTGTGGAGCTTCTTGAGGTCATCACACTTGCAAGATTAAGACTTTACATTTTAGGAAATGTCCAAATAAGTATCAGCCATGTAAATGATTGTATGTGGGAGACAGAACGTACCACTGACAAAGTTCAGCAAGCAGATATATCTTGATGACTCAGATGTATCTTTTAAAATCATTTTGTGTGGGAGGTTTGATTAGCTGACTGAAGTCCCTTATTTTTGCTAACTCTGCCACAATTCTGTGACAACTAAGCAGGCGTTTATGTCATTTTGGGCTTATTTTTCAAGAAAGATGAGAGCAAACTCAACATGTTGCCTTGGGGCTCTAAACTTGCGTAAGAGCAATCTCATCAGTATTTTGGGACACAAGTACAGGATATTTAGGATGTTATGTGAATAAATTAAATGTGTTCAGGGCCAGTGCCAAGTGAAGCAGTACTACTTCAAGATAATCCTGATCATGAGAGCTGCCTCAGTCATGTTCTTTACTCCCAATAGGAATATTTCCTATAAGGGCAACAGGAAATTTATAAGTCAGCCAAATATATTGCAGATCAGCATGTGGTGTGTGATGTCTGTCCCTTGCCAGTTATGTATTTGGCACAGAAGACCAAATAGAAGGGAAGAAGCTACAAGATAGAGGGGACCAAGATTTTCATTAAATGACACTGGTGTTTCTGGAAGAGAGAATAACAGTTCAAGAATCTAATTTCCATGTTATTCTTTTCTCCAGGGTTTCCAGAGCATCTCTGTGCAATGGCTATGGTGTCTCTGTTGGACTTTGAAGCTTATGCAGAAAAATATTTACCTAAGATTGCTTGGGATTTCTTTGCGTCAGGAGCACATGAGAATAGCACCCAAGATGAAAACATCCTGGCATATAAGAGGTAACGTGGGGAAGAAGTGGGGGTGTTGTGCTGGAAGCTTTTAAACTATGTTTGTGTACAGGTGTTTGCATTTCATACACAATGATTCCTAACACCTTGCTTGCCCTTATCTGAATAACATATGCTGTGTGCTATGGTGCTACCCTCCATAAGGCTCAAATTGCATAAGACACAAGGGATGCTGAGGATGCAGGCAAATGGTGTGGTGTGTTTGGTATGGTATGACAGGAAAGGGAATGTATGGCTACAACAGAATGTGATGCAATGTGTAGCATGTGGCCAGTTGCAGGAAGCCTGCAACTAGTGCGAGATTTGGAAAATATGCTGTGGACACTGAGGTCAGGTACAATGTACAATGAGTACAGGCATGATTGCTAAGTGAAAGACAGAGACCTGGGACTTGGCTGCAAGTAGAAATAATCTGTGGGATGGACAATAGGAGAGCAAGGAAGGTAAACCGTGGCAGTCTGAAGTGGGAGTGTAAAAATGAAGTACTGTGACCAGTGGGCAAGAGTATGGGATTAATGACAGCTGGTAGTGGCAGAACTACTAGCTGAATTGGCAAGAAAAAGGATGAAGGGCCTTTTTATATGCTCATTTCTTTATTACCTCTGATTGCTGCATTTCAATGGGTAAAAGTAGACATGGTTTCCACAGAGCTTGAAAAGCAGAGAAGCCACCAGACAACTACCATCCTGAAGGGTGCTTTATTTCTGTTGCCTTGCAGGATTCGTTTTCAGCCACGTATGCTGAGAGATGTGTCTATACTGGACACTAGGACGAAAATCCTGGGTATATGGAAATCAGCTTTCCAGTAGGAATCGCCCCGACTGGCTTCCACCAACTAGCATGGCCTGATGGAGAGAAAAGCACAGCCAGAGGTACTCTTTTGCTTTGCTATCATGTAGCAAATGTGATTTGTGAAATAAAATAAAATAAAATAAAATAAAATAAAATAAAATAAAATAAAATAAAATAAAATAAAATAAAATAAAATAAAACAACATTGTTTTTCCAGCTTCACAGGTGAGGAGCTGTTAGGGTAGTTTGAAGTATGACTGAGCAAAGTGCTCAGATTCCAAAGGACAAACCTTATTTCACCCTTGTTTATGAATGATCACAGAGTGCAGGAGAAGCCAAGTATTGCTGCACTTCTTCAGCTTCCACTGTTACCAGATCAGCCCTATATTGCCTCTGAGTCAGAAATTATGGACACACTGTTGTGCTACACCAACGGGGCCACACAGGTCTTCAGTGTCAGGGGCTTTAGGTAGGACATAAAGACGTGGACAAGACTCAGCCTGTATATTCCTCGGTGCTGATCAGAACAATGGCAGCCTTGGAGAAAAGCAGGGCCTCTCTGCATAATCATATGTTAAGTTTGGAGAGCAACAAGTGTTTTTTGTTTTTTTTCCTGTGTGCATTTCTGTGTACACTGAGCATTTGCATGTACATTCCTACAAGGAAGCAGACATGCTTCCATGCAAGAGGATGAAGGCCCTGTTTTTCAAAAAATTACTAAGATCATAGAATCATAGAGTGTCTTAGGTCAGAAGGGATCTTTAAAAATCATTCATTTCCAATCCCCCCTGCTCTGGACAAGGACACCTCCTACCTGGTCAAGCTGGCCAGGGCCCCATCCAATCTGGCTTTGAACACCTTTGGGGATGGGGTACCCATAGCTTCTCTGGGAAGCCTGTGCCAGTGCTTCAGAATGTTCTGAATAAAGAATTTCTTCCCAACATCTAAGCTAAATCTCCCCTCTTTTAGTTTAATACTACTCTTGTTTTCCCATCACTATCAGGTTGTATAAAAATCATCCTTTTATGTAATGGAAGGCCACAATGAGCTCTCCCCACAGCCTTCTATTCTCCAGGATGATCAAGCACAGCTCACTTAACCTTTCCTCTTAGGAGAGGTGCTCCAGCCTGGGTCTTCATGGCCCTTCTCTGGACCTGCTCCAATGACTCCTAATCCTTCCTGTACTGGGAGACCCAGGTCTGGATGCAGTACTGCAGATGGATCCTCTCCAGGGCAGCGCAGAGGACAACAATCACCTCCCTTGTACTAAGTTTGAGAAATGAAAGCAACAGTTGGTAATTTACCTTAATTCCCTAAACATGATCCTACAACAGCATGTGGCAAAGTCAGCTGTTTTTAATGTCTGAGATGTATTTGCCAACTGGCAAACCTTTGTCTTTGGTAGGATATACAAACAACAGGAGTTCAGGTTTTCTCTGTGAACAATGTACAAACAGAAAATCATAGCCATTTTCTGGCAGCGATGCTCAAGTGACCTTCATTCTGATTATTTTTCAATACCTCATAAAGCAGCCAAAGCGATGGGCACCTGTTACATTGCCAGCACCTACTCTACCTGCTCGCTGGAAGAGATCACTGCAGCTGCTCCTGGTGGCTTTCGGTGGTTCCAGCTCTACATCCACCGCAACAGGGCAGTCTCTAGGCAATTGGTCCAACAGGCAGAGGCCTTGGGATTCCAGGGCCTCGTCCTCACTGTGGATCTGCCCTACACTGGCAAAAGGCGCAATGATGTCCGTAATGGCTTCTGACTTCCTCCCCACATGAAACTGAAGAACTTGGAGGGAGCCTTTGAGGTTTGTGAAATGATCTCCTTCTTTCATTCCTTGTGTTGGTGTGTACCACATGAGACAAAACCACTGGGTAACTGCTGCTTCAGTATCTGCTACATCTTGGACAAAGATTTTCCCCTCCTTTTTCTGCAGCCTTCTAGCTTGACCTCCTCCCAGCCGGGCTACTGGCTCTAAGATCCCAGTGCAGCTTCCTCAGAGACACTGATTTTCATCCTCATTGTTGTCATCTAGAAATGCATGCTTTACAACACTGTTAAACATGATTGCTAGAGGTTTAATTAATCTCTTCTAGGGCAGGGGAAGAATCCAAGTCTCTGTTGTTACAGTACAGATGGGGTTTTGTTCTGTTTCATGGCTGTAGGGAAATGACCGATCTGAGTACGGACTGCCACCCAACAGCCTGGATCCTTCGGTCACCTGGGATGATATCTACTGGCTGAGGAGCCTGACTCACCTGCCCATTGTCATCAAAGGGATCTTGACTAAAGAAGATGCAGAGCTCGCAGTGAGGCATGGAGTTCAGGGAATTATAGTGTCCAACCATGGCAGAAGGCAACTGGATGGAGCACCTGCCACTGTAAGTGAGAAAATGGATGTCCCATGAGTATTGTGTGCGTGTTTGTGCTAACTTGGCTACTGGCACGCGAATCTTACTAAATATGCCTCTGGTAGACTTGTGTGTTGCACATCTGCGGACGTATGCAGATATGCTATAGATTTAAACAACTGAGGTGCTTGCCTCAACATGGGCTGCCTACTCAAGTATTTCCTCAGTGTCACAGGAAGGATCTATAACCATACTGAGTTCCCATTACTGTAGCAAAACTGCTGGCTTAATAAAAATTTTCATCGTGAGCTGATGCAGTGCACACATGTTCTTCTTACACTGCATGAAAAATAAAACAAAGCTCTGGAACCAAAAATGTGTAAATGAGAGAATAATGTACTCTCATTGTTCGCATATGCCAAAATATGCGCAAACAGTGCAACTAGATTTAGTGAGAGATCTGTTTGCATCATTGTAGACTCAAGTCTAAATAGGAATCCTGACTTCATGAAGCCAGGGGGAAAAAAAAAAAAAAAAAAAAAAAGTGTAATTTATCCAGACAAAAATTCTCCCACTTTTAAATCTGTACCAAGAAATAATAGTTTTTTGGTCTTATGTATACTTCACTGCTTTAATTTTTTTTCCATTTTTCCAACTGTTCTTAATTTACATGTCTGTATTGCAGTTTCATATTCTTATAGATTTTTTTTTTGTTTGTCTGCTTTGTTTTGTTTTCCTCTGTAAAATAAAATTAGTGCCAGGAAATTCTCTTTTATGTCGAGGGTGATAATAATAAATAATTTTTCTAAACGTTATAGACATAATAATGGAAATGATGTTCATGTAAATTTTCTTTCATGCACAGACGAAACAGTAGATACATAGTTCAGCACTCCTCTGGTTCCAAATCCGGCAACAGAGGCTACTGCCAGTGCTCTTGGTGAGCTACTCTTGGAAAATTTCAGACCCAAAATTTTCAGCTTGAAATTCTGAAAAGTGACAACTAATTGGAAAAATCTATTCAGTGATCTTAGTTGTAGCTGCCTTCATTAAGAAGATGAGAATCAAGGAAGAGAGTGTAAGAGACTGAAGAAAAGAATCTTTGAGTTTGCTGTGGAGAGTTAATTGTGTTTTGTGCAAGGTCATGCCACTGTGATAGTGCCCTTGGGACTAGAATCAGTTCTCTGCATGGTGCTGCTCTGTGCTACCAGCCTAGCACTGCAGAAAAGACCTCAGGGAATCAAGAGATGTAGCTTGAAGGAAACATTATATTTTGATTGTGCTGCATAGCTAATGAAATCCTTCATAGCTGCTTTATGTGTTTTCAGGTTTTCTACGGGTGGTCACTAGGATTGGGATGAAATGTGAGTTTGACAATTTAGACAGTTGTAGAGAGAAGTCTAACACTCTTCTTACAATAGTATAATTCATCATTGTCTCAAATGAAAGTAAGATACTAAAAAATATTATTTCTATTGAAATTTATTGTTTAAATCTCAAAAATAACCAACACCAAAATCAAGTGAAAATGTTACTTTTTCACATATAGGAATATCCATATAAACAAAACTATCTGGCAAAAAAAGCAAGGACAAGCACAGTATTGTACAGTTTTTGGTACTGAGTTATTTATGATGCCTTTTCATATTTCATTTTGAGAACTTATTCTGTTCTAGTATACTTGTCTGTCTGTGTGGGATATTACCTCTTTGTCTTGAACCCAAAAGATGAGCCTAAGTTTCAAATGGCTTCTTCTTTCCAGATAGATGCTCTGGTTGAAGTTGTGGAGGCAGTACGAGGCAGAGTTGAAGTTTATTTAGATGGTGGTATACGGAAAGGAA